TATCATTTAATACTGATACAAAAAAGCAGAGGTAGGTAAAAAATCATAAAACAACTAATACAACTATTTTTTATTTTAAGTAAATTTATTTAATAAAAAAATTGTAAATTTCATACTCACCTTTCAAGTTCTCAAATTCGGTTTATGAAGACAATAATCAAGATAATAATTCATAATATATTTTTAAGCAATAATAATAGCCAACTTTACTTTTTTACCTACCTACTGGTACCTCTTGGGATTCATGGGGGTTCCTCCTACACGTGGACTTAACATCCAATTTATTAATTAACTGGCCGTTCTCAAGCCTGTTCGACTGAGGTAATATCCACAGTAGGGTTTGCCCTATGTATCGGGTCCGTACACCTTTTTCCATGATACCCAGTAAGCCTTTTATACACATGTTTACATTGTCAACCAATCACCAATTGTACACAAATATCTCATTTTATATTCACATATCAATAGAATAATATTTAAATAGACAACAAAAATCGATACTTTAACAATTAAGAAAAACATGATTAAGGCACTTATTTTAAATCAATCATAGATAGGGATAAAAAAATTAATAAACGAGAAGGTAAATAAACCAGTGAATTAAAGTGCATGCGGTAAGCACACAAATACAGTCTAACAATAGATAAATAGTATACATAAAATAAGCAGTTTTGTACTGATTAGTTACCGACTCCACTAATGACTTGTATTTAATGAACTAGGGGTTTTTAACATTCACAAATTACACAGTTTTTATGTATTATACTTCAATAAACCATAACATGAAAAAAGAGTGAGGAATTCTTACCCCGAATTGGTTTCTGAAATACTGCCTTTTTCACCGCACTTCCTGGCTGTTCTTAGGTTTATTGACTTTTTTATGTGAAAATCAAAAGTACGCATCACGTATTTTAAAATACCCCAAAAAGGCTAAAAATGAGGATTTAAATTTTTTTTTTGTCAATTTAGGTTCCGACACGACACCGCAACTGTGTTTCGGTGCCGGCTCCGTTGCCCACGACGACATCTCCTATCAATCTGGCCGTTTTTGGAAAGTTTTGGCCGATTTTGTATGAAAACCTGCAAAAAATGAAGTTATGCGGCCTCTGTTGGCCGGAAGAAGGGGAAAACCGAAACTCATCGGCAGAAAGGTTTTTCGGTGCGGTAGCTCTGTCGTTCCTCTCTCATGACTTGGGATTTCCGTCAGTCGACCTATACCAGAAATGTGTTAGGAATTCAATGATCAAAATATTAAAGGGAACGAAAAGTGAGATCGGCCTCACCAAACGATTTTTGTGTCGCGGCCGCGACGCCTTGGCTGAGCTCCACTCTCAGTTTCCAGTTTCCCTTTTTGTTTTTTTGCTTCGATATGGGTGTGGGAAGAATTAAAATCAAATCCCAAAGTGAAAGGGCTAAAAAAACTCACTTCCCCGATGTCGGTGGCGGCTCCAGTGCTGCGGTGACGGTGGTTGGTTTTCCTTCTGCCCGCCCTTTTTTTTTTTCTTCAGTGGGCTCAGATGCAGTTAGGGTTAGGGTTTAGGGGATGGGATGCTTATATACCTTCTCCACGTCGATCTTGGTCGTCCGTCCAGGGACATGTGGCCCACTCTCTGCCGTTATATCACTCTTATTTGGAGATTAATCTGGGTTGCACGATCGATTAAAATCTAGTCGTCCGATAACGCCTAAAGCGGAAATGGATCTGGGCCATCCGTGCTCGCGGGAGGAGGTGTGAGCTATTGGATTCGTTGGCATGCAGATCGCCCGCGCGGCTTTTCGTGTGGGTGCGTGTCCACGTGTCTGTTACGTGGCGCATGGTGACTGGTCGTGCTGCTGACGTGGCGGTCCACGTGGCCAAATTTTTTATTTATACTTTTACCCCAATTTGTCATATTTTTTTTCAAATAGGTCCTCCCTTATTTCTATTTTACCCCTGATTTTTGAAACATTTTCAAATACATCCAAAACTCAATTTTCTTTAAAAATTAAAATTAAAATTTTCTAGTTTATATTATTATCATGATTTAATTATCCCGGACCTACATTTTGAACCCGAGTGCTACAACTATCTCTCCCTTAAGAAAATTTGATCCCTCAATTTTACCACTCTCTCACTAGTTTGAAAATTGAGGATACTGGGCCCTGAAATCTGATTCTAGCTCCTAAGTGACCATGTCTTTCAAGTGGTTTTGCTATTGCACCTTGACAAAGCACTCTACTCTTCTGGTCC